ATATATATATATATATATAAAGTCAAATGGACATGAGATTCTAAAAAAAGACAGCTGAATTCAATGACAGCCCGAACGTAATTTCTCACCTCACGTTCATTCATCTTCTTTTTGATGATCTCGAGGTATGGGGAGGCTTCAGCTAGGTCTCTATTAGGGGCTGACAGAAAGAAAATATTGCTCTCCCCAGTGCGCATTCGAGAGCCGTATTCATCGAGGCTTGTTTTCTGACCCGCAGGCAAAGCAGAGCTTTCGAATCGAAGGAGTTTAGCAATCATCTCACGGGTGGACTGATCAGACTCAGTAACGATTCCTTCTTTTAAGTAGAGACCAAAATCGGAGAGAAAATCCAAGAAGTTCTTTACGTCACGTTTAGACTCGCTCTAAATTACATTAAACAAATGTACTTGTTAAACGATAGTAAAATTCAGGAATTAGTTTTTAGGGTGACATACCTTAAGGAAACGAAGAATTCGAGAGGTAAGTATGAGATTAACCTTGCGAATAAGGCCATGATCCTGAAGCAACTCGCGACTCAAGTTGAGGGGGATATCTTCACTATCAACAACTCCGCAGACAAAGCGCAACCATGTAGGTAGTAGAGTGTCGATTTTACTTGTAATAAGAATCTGTGGAGATTTTAAGAACTAAATTCGTGAACATAGGGATAACAAATAATTCAACGGAATATACCAGGCATCCCAAGCATTCATTTGAAAGTCCTCAGTGAAAGTAAATGAGAACCCTGTGGTAAGGGATGGCACAAACCTTTCGACTGTAGAGCGCCAATGAGTTTCTCTCCGCCCTGGCAGCCTCAAAGATGTTCGGTTTCATTGATGGAACAAACAAGAGTGCGCGCAAATTAATTGGCGAATCCGTTTTGAATGTGATTCGATACCTGGGTGAATCGTACCTATTACCGGTAATGAATTGGTAAAACGATGCATATTCGTCGTCAGTTGCCTAAAATGAATAAATTCTAAAAAAATGAGAAGCATGAAAAAGACCAAAGGACTGTATTAAAAGTAAACAACTTCAATAGTATTGTAATGCCTCGCAATGCACTGTTACAAATTACCCTCGAAGGATCCTTCGTCCAGAGCGGTTCGAAACCATTAATTAGCTTCCCATTAAGGAAAATGGGGACGCCAATGAAATTACTATACTTCTGGATGATGGATTTGATTACTGATTCCTTTGCAAACTCTGCCGAATCTTCCCTTAGATGAAGGGTAATTTTAGTTCCCGGAGAAGCTTCCGCGAAGTCATAAATTGTGTAGACGCCTTCTGTTCCATTTGAAACCCACCTATGGCCTTTTCTGTCCTTTTCGTCGACCTGACTCATGGATTGAACCTCAACCTATCCGACGAAATTCCATTCAATTAGGTGAACTTAAAAAGCTTACACAAAGTAAAGTGACAATGATCAGTACCGAATAAAATTTAACAACTCCATACCAGAGGAATGCGGCGTAGTACATAATAACGAACAGCATAAATGGAAACTGTGATATTTCAATGACTACCAAAGTCACAACGCGACCATTCTGCATTGGAAAGTGAAGCTTACCTCTTCTGACACCATGAACGCGGCATAAAACCCGACACCAAATTGGCCAATTATGCTGATCGGGTCGCCCACAGTCTCACTATTTTGTTTCAGTTGAGCAACGTATTCACTCGACCCAGATTTAGCGATTGTACCCAAATTCGTCTCCATTTCATCTGCAGTCATACCGATACCATTATCAGATATAGTAAACACTCGCTCATTTTCGTTCGTTGTTATATGGATTTCTAGAGGGGTTTCGGAACCACTCACGCTGCCAGAGGTTTGCAAAAAACGCAATCTTTCCACTGCGTCACTGGCATTCGATATTAACTCTCGCACAAAGATCTAAAGTGCATACGTACAACAATATGAGGCGAACAATTTAACGCAGATGTGATAGGTTTTTCAAACTCCATCTACACATTATAATCGGTACGATGAACTAATTGAACAAGACGCATTTTGATGTTCAAAATAACAATAATAAGGAAAATTTATTATGCTCACCTCTCTGTCAGAGTACAGTGATCTCGCGACAATGCCCAGTAGCTTGCTGGTGTCCGCCTGAAATTTCTTAATTTTCCCCTCAGGTTGCAATGAGACGGTAGTAGCCGACTTTGTGGAGAAGTAATAGGGCCGCAGAATATGGCTTCTGCTTCTTGTCGACACGTGTCTGAGAGCAATATTGTGCCAATTAAGTATGAGACGCCTGACAGCATAACGAGTGAGCGACATGTGGAGAGCTAAATAAGCAACCGGTTATTCTGCAAGTTGACGTCCTTTAAGCACAAGCTTTTGCCTTCAAACGAAAGAACTATATTAAAAGCAAACATAATGGTCGTTGCATTAGATACGCACATACACATATCCGTGAAACTTTGAATGCCTTTCGCATATGCAGATATTGTGCAGACTACTAAGTAAATACGCCTGAAATTTAGATTACAATGTCTCTGTGAAACGCATCACAAAGTGTTGAAATGGTTTCTAATTATTCCCATGTTATAATGCTTCCTCATGTAAAACAAGGAAATGCACTTACAACAGACACGAGACCACTCAACCGTTTGACGCGCTGAGTAATAGCCCTTTTAAACACTTACTCAAATGAAGGACGCGTATAGTAAAAATAAAACAGTGACAGTGCTCGCTGTTCGCATACTACATAAACGCTACTTAAAAGTTCTGCTGATTTTGGTGAGATCTACCTTCAAGCGTGGCGCTCGCACAGGTGATCAATTCGAAATACTTACGGGAATGGACCCTAGCTGCTGATTTTGTCCACACTATCACCTTTATCGCCTATACTTATGTTTTGTAAAGCTGCTAAAGTTAAACAGACTGCCAATGGACCTGCCACGAGGAAATTAGACGATAGCGGTGCAATGCTTTGTTTATGTGACTACCTGGTGTTTGGCGGTCTCTAGAACTTGCCTAGTCCCTGTATACATGGTCTGGCCTTCGGGCCATGCTCAGGCTCCTTTTCTCCTATTGTCTTCGGAATACATGTTTTCAACCTCACTTATGTCTTCTACTACCCCATAGGAAGCATCGGGATGCTACAAGCGGTGTCATAAAACACAAAGAAAATTATATTAATATTTTAACTCGGGTCTTATGCATAGTAGGAATTTTTGGCATTAAATATAGATGAACGACTTAGTCTTTATTCAGCACCGTAGTGTTGACCTCTTCTTCGTAAAAGTGATGCGATGACGTTTCCTCGAGATACAATTTACCTACGAACGCTGTATTATGCATCTCAGGAGAGTGGGAGCGACAGTGTGGATTCATGAGTAAGGTTAGACCAAAAGTGGGGCTTTTAGTCCGGTGTTCGCCTTTATACCTTACCTCGGCGTTAGAATGTTGATTTAAACACCGTAATTAATGCGCTACAAGCTCTAAGGCTACCGATGCGGATTCCAATCATAACACGTTGACTGGATTATTGCTATTTGAAGTCTTCCTTCTCACCTTCCCACATCTGGAATAATTACAGTGGGTTCGCCTAATTTAAACATTCTTTTGCGGAGCAGAAAATGACGGGATTTGTCGATATACTAGAAAGAAACCATGACTTGATTTCGGTCTATGTCCATGAGGTTCAACCGATCAACTAGTGATGGTATCAACGATCCTTTAATATGCATCTACTATGCATCCATCTACATCGGTATTATCTGTAGGGTTCCAAGACTTTTCATTTGGTTTTAGAAGCTCTAAACTTGATTAAAATCTTCTGTTCTGGCGGAAGTGGAGCTTTGGCATTGTGCAATGTCTAGTCTACCCGGCAGGAGTAGGAAGATCGTCACGCATATAGGTAGTAGAGTAACCAAAGCATTGCACTAATCCTCTCTCTTTTTTGAGAGGCGTCTTCAGCACTTCCCTTAATATGTTTCCAACACTATTTGTCACAAGTTTTCCAATGCTCTCAAAAAACGAGCCACCTTAACCAGTCATCAGCTGTCATTAAGTTGAAGGAGCGTGCATGACCATCTCATTGGTTTCTGCTAGGTTCGAAATTACGCTAGACACTATAGCATTAAATCAGGGACGGAAAATTCCGTTGGTCGTTACGCGTATTTAGGGCTAGAGGTCGGAATATCGGTCCAACAGAAGTTCGTGGTTGGCAATACGGGATTTAGCACATTCCTGTACAGTAGACAGTTTAGCGCAATGTAGTCACCGGTCTTTTTTACGCGAATACAGCAAAACAGGATAATTTTAAACGGTTTACGACATTGTCTGTTCAGTTGTTGATAGTATGCCAGTGGAACACGGTAATGAGACACATGCTAAACGCAGACGCCCCTCTTAATTCTTCTGCGCTGGAGAAGTTGGATCTTCTCGCAGTCGAAATGTATGCACCTTGCTTACACCACAGAAGTTGGTCACAGAAATTGAAAATCATAACAGAAAGCATACCATGGACGAGATCGCTTTTGCCTGGCATCAGCGCAGAGACCCAGGACTTTCACTTAGTAATCGAAAGTATTGTACCGTCTTTTTCTTTAAAATGGTCCGGAGCGATACACAATCACGAGCGATCTCAAAAACCAACTCAATTTATGCATAGGAAAGTTGGGGTAGGGATGCACGTGGCACCCAGAAGGGTTCGACACAGTCAGACGTGACCCTACTACCAGGACTGGCCATAGTCTTGCCGTTGACAGTTTCCTTCACTTCTTCTGCCTTTTCAACTGTCCTCTTGGAAAACCTAGTTGAGGAATTTAGGGAGGCGCCACTCACAGTGATCAAGACCACTTTCCAAAGTACTCACACTTCAAGCGTACATCTTGCCAATAGGACAAATTGCAAGGTCATTTTCCACGAAAAACTCCCGCTTCAATGAAGCAACATTACTTTACGAGGCGAAACCGTTAAACTAATGTAACCTTTACCTTGACTTTCTACCAATTTCAGTTTTTCATCCTCATCTCAGTCGGCTTATTCACTTTGCAAGGTAATCATGCGATTGCTTGCGATGATTTATCTACTGGAAAAGCACCTTTTGAGTCGCTATCCCTACCAAGTAAATAAGCTAAGGAAAGATGCCATTTATGACAACCCAAGAGCTGGAACGCTAAAACCACTACCTCCTACCCAAACTGTGGTTGAACAAAACGATAGGTACGAATCCGATTCACAAAGTTTGGCAGTGTACAAATCCGTTCTTTTAATACCTGACATTAGGTTTGATGGATGCCAGCAACCAAAGGACACTTCAGTGCATTATGCTTATTTCAGTCAACAAAGACCGAAAAAAGGGAATTTGAGTCTATATAGGAAGCACCAATTGTTATTAGCACTTAATAAGTACAGAGGGAAGATATGGACGCCACGTCGAGTTCAACGGGATCCTATTAATCACCACTATGAAACGACTATGGAGATAGAGTTCCAGGTTTTGCCATTTATATGAAATTCATAGCCCAGAAGGGGAGGATCTTCGGAACGCGCTATTACCGCAGCTATTACAAGATTATTATTCTGAATCCCCATTGTGAATGCAGCATGGGTGATAAGATGAACAACAAAAGGATCCATAGCAAATAATCTGTCAAAGTGCGCATGGCAATGAAATGAATTAAACAGCGTCAACCTCAAAAGCCTGTGCCATTTTCGGAGGCCAGTCATGTTCGACGGCAACTACATCGAGAGCAAGCAAATCCACCGGGCAGCCCAAAAGAGAGGAGAGGCTGGGTCGCGTTCGACCTAGATCCCCGTGCACCAGCTCCTTCACATAGGTTCCAGCTTCACAGCAAAGTTCTAGCATGAAGAGTTCCTCCTTCGGGTGTACATCCGCTTGAGCAGCGAACTCCTTCAGCTAGTTAAGACAGTAAATATAAGGCCATGCTCGAATGCATCGCAGGGATTAAGTGAATGTTTCTTGAAGGTACAGGAGAAAACTATTGCTTCAGAGGTAGTATGAAAAGATTTCCTGTTTGCAAAAGCAAAGTTCAATAAACAAAATGAGGCACATAAAACGAACGTTAGTTAGAAACAAAATGGATAGCATAGATAACAACAACAGCCTTATAAATGCGATCGTTTGCCAGAGGAAAAATTGTGAGTCTTTAAACGAGTGTCATGATCGAGCAGAAAATTAAAATTAATAATACCAGCGTAAATTTGGATTTTTTCGTAGGTGAGAATATAAATGTGAGTAAAGTGCTCACAGCTCCCTCCAACAATGTCCTTGCAGTTGCATGAAAAGCAAACTACCTAGAGCACAACTTACCACGAAAGGTACCTTCTCTCGAAGCACATTGGTAGCGAAGTCGGCCAGACGAAACCAGATGATGTCCCGCGTGCGGGACATCAGAGAACGTCGGTGAAGAACTCTGATTGGAGTTAGCTGTTTAATTGTGAACCGACCAAAGGAGAGGTAAGCGACATTACAACCGAGATCAGACTGGTATGTAAGTTCCGTCGGTGGCCACTGTAAAGATGATGGTGTTTTCGCAACACTGATGCCATGCGATAGCGCATTTAGTCGGGAAGCAAGCAGACGAACTCGACTCGTCGTGAGACCACCCTGAGGACACCAGCAGAGAGCGCGGTAACGTTTTCGCTTCTCAACCTTGCTGCTCTTCAAGAATACGTTCACCGATGCAACGCTAACAACCTACCAACGGTGAAAACCTTCAATAATGGATGTTCTTTCGTTATAATCCCAGAGATCGAAGGGCGTACTTCTGCCGCATTCATAAAAAGTTTATCGCATTTTCCTCCATCACTATATCACTCGAAAGTGCGTCAAATGGTATTACTAGATCTGCTCACATCAAATCATACGACAACGAAAACCCACTTGTAGATCCCGAACAAAGATGCGACCACCAGTTGAATTGTTGATAGTACTGGCAAGCCAGGAAAGGTCATTGGCACAATCATACCCAGCCTTTGCGTCACCGTCCTTTTCACCACGCGGCAACGAATGCGCTCGAAACATTGAACTCAGTGTCTTGTTGTAGGCATTCAGTTCAAGTGCAAATGGCCGTCCAAGGCCTAAGCACCTAGGATGAAAAGGATGTGTGTGAAATTTTCCAGTGTGCACATAAATCGCATATCGTTATTACGATAGGACTGCAAATGGTACGGTCAACCATGCCCGCTTAGCTGGTAAAATCGCTCCTTGTGCATCTGAAATATCATCCAAATGATGTGATCTGAAAAAAATATTACCGGGAGACCAAAGTACAATACTGAAAAACGAGACAGCAATGAAGCCCCATAGTAATCGACCGAATAATGGTCAAATTGATTCCTAGGAGAGTGTTTTACGACACAACGAGAAAAACGACTACAATAATCACATCGAAGCAAAAGCTTCATCCGTAATTGCAAACAAAATGAAAAGCAAACACATGCTCCAATTCCATCGATACCTTACGTCAATATCCTCGCGTCCAGAACTAACAAAAGTGAAGGTGGTGTGAGGTCCAAAGGCGGCGATGATCGGAGCAGCGATCAGTTCCTCCACTGAGGAGTCAAGCTTGCGTTCTCCGTCGATGAACCACGGAGTTTGAGGCAAAATACGGCTCAACTTTACATAGCGCCCTGTGATTACGAGTGGGACTGCGCGGCGCATAGTTACGGTAGAAAGGCGAACCAGAGGTAATTCGTCACCTCCCGTTTTCAGTGTTTCCAGGCTTTGGCAATAAAAGTTTTTGTAATGCCAGCTACTATTCAATACAATTCATAATTGGTCAATAGCAGCATATATGACGGGTGGAGGCAATAATGGATGTAAGAAGGAGAAGAAAATACATTTACCCCAGCAAGCTCCAGAGTATTGAATTAAAAGGAAAAAGCGAAAATGCACAAAGGTCAAGTCGGGAACTAAACACGATGATGGCTTCACCACTGAAGAGTACGCAATCCGAAAGTACCTTGACACATTCGCATAGCTCAAAATAGAAAATGCCAATGTCAATAATTGCTATTTAAAATGAATTCTGCAAAACAAAACATCAAATTAGAGTAACGTACGGATAGGAAAAATGCTTTCAGCTTCGCAATTTGTGTCTATAAGATGTGGACACAAATCTTTGTTATTGCAAAAGCAAGTTTAAGGGGAGAATAAAATAATGACATTTTAAACCATGGGGAGGTAAATAATATATTTCTGTAGGAAAAATAGAGACCCCGAAGTGAGGACTACCTTATTCACATATCAGATTAAGCGTTCAGTGGGGCCTACTTTAGCACTTCTTTCAGAAAAGTTTTGTCAGGAAGAAGGTCGAGAAGTTTCTTCAAGGAGGAACGAGACACTCCAGTGTTGGACGCGGTGGGCTCATTGTGAGTAATTCGTCGACGATGTTTGCCAAAGCGTCGGTTCGCATCGCGATAATTCCGCGAGTAGGAGCTCCAGTCACGCGGGTTGCAATGCCGCTTTGCGGCCGCCAGGAGGAGTGGGAGGTCGGTATTGTTTGCCAAATAATCGACTGGCAGATCAAAGGTGAGAAAAATATCCACCTGCTCAGTGGCAGCGTCGAACCATGTAGGTGGTGATTTTGGATCGGGAAACAGTGGTGGCAGAGAGACCTGCTCTTCCTAAATGCGTTGAGGTTGTGTGATTTTAAGGTGCTAAAAGACTTTGCTAGTCTAGAAACAGTCATGCAACTATTTGAATATGGATTAGTCCCTGGTTCATTAAATATATTTTTTTATGCATAAATCAGTAAGGACACAACAATGGAAGCCAAATAGATCGATTACTGATACACAAATGCCAATTCCTTATTCCATATTGTTCTTAACGTTCCGAGAAAGGTATAAAAAAACTTACACAAAAAAGCTTCTTTAAACGACTGGTTACAATGTTACGAAATACAACTTTCGCTGGAACCGACTTTTCTTCCAAAACCTCGATCGGTTGCGAACATTCGTTCCCACCACATTTCTCCTTTACATAGGCCCAAAAGGCGTGGTCTCGCAGAGCAAGGTTGACGGGTTCTGAAATCTTTATATTAAAATCGAAAAAGATCTTTTGCCGGATTAATTGGTGCTGGTGACATTTAGCATGCATGAGGACCAAAATAGGGTGTATCATATACTAATAACGGATTCTCAGCTCTATTAATGACAAGGAATCAGTACAAAAACAAGAAGTTTAGCAATTTGTTGAAAAAATGAGTCACCATGAGTAGCTGTTTAACAAGGATGGGGTTTTGAGAGTTGTCATGTCTATGAGCGAATTCATAGAAAAGCTGTACAAACGCCTATAAGACGTATCGAACTCCTCTGAAGTGAGTGCGAATCAGTTTTTTTACAGCATCAGAGAGGTAACGTACATTCAGCTGAAAAGTCGAGAAGTCAAACCCACTCTGCTTAACTTTTGCCATAATTTGGGATGGAATATCAGCTCCAGAGCTGGAAGATACGAAGAGACCACAAAGTCCGAAGCAAAGGACACACTTCGTGATTTCGCCATGCGTTAGCTCGGCGTCCTCCAGGTTTTCTGGAAGACCATGGCAGTGGAATGAAGAACCAAAGAAAAGTCGATAACGGCATAGAAGGCAGAGCTTCAAAGGTTTCAAAGCTTCCTCCAAGGTAGGGGACAATTCTGCTGGATCGACCATCTGAAGTAGGGTACACAAATGCAATTACTCTGGAAATTGAGGAATGAACGCCATCAAATAGATCAACCGCTGGTCGTGAGTAGCATTACATACCACGTAAAAAATGTTGAAGATTTTCCAAGCTAAAATAACACTTTCCAAAACATTACAGAACACATCTGCACCTCCTTGTTCATACTGCGTCGTAGCTCTAAATTGCTCCTTCCTTAAAACTATGATGGTGTGGACTCGAGTTCTCCCCGAAGAGGCAAGGTGGATTTCAGTGCGTACCGCAAAAATAATTAGCGTTCTAACACAAGAAGTAATTGACGACTCGAAAGGTAATAACGTGCGCCATTGTCATCGAAAGTAAATCGACGTCGTCAAGGTCCGCGGAAACATCAACAGCGCCTTGCGTCTAGTGCTCTCAATACCCAACCAATCCAATAAATATGAGAATTAGAGGCGCATTTGGCATCCTAAATGTTTATTAAAGTAACTGAGTAGAAAACGATGAACATGTACACACGAACCAATAATTAAGACCATAAATTGTACAAGCAAAACCACTCAATTGAATCCAAACTTATCATATCATTTCATTAAATCATATTGCAATGGCAGCAGCCATATTCATCAACCAGTCAACCAGTATTATTATACTCAAGTACTTGCATTTGCCGGATCTCAATATAGCAGAACAAGCCTACTGTTTTGAAGCGCACATAAAAAAAAACCATCAAAGCAACGTGTATTTGCAAGTAGACCGGATTTTCCTTTCAAATAGATAATTAGAGCAAATAGAAGCAAGTGAAGTGTAACGTGAAATCTGAAGGGATAACAGGACAAGTTTACAATTGCTACCGCTTGGAGATCCTCATCGTTCTTTGAAAGACGCCAATGAAAGAGATCATAGAAGCAAAAAATAAAGCGAGTGATAGAAGGATGAAAAGAAGCATGAGGCACTGTAGTTAGCAAGAAAAAAAAATGCGTGTCACGCCGCCAGCCGCCTTCGCTTTTTGCTAGATGGTGACGAAGCAGATGCTGATGGGGCATCCAAATTAGGCAAGGGCGAACCCCAACAAATGGCACGGCTGTCAGAGAAGCGGTAAAGCAGCGGCAGGACACGACGTTGAGTTGGCCACGCGTACAGAAATGCAAGCTCCCGTAGGCTATGTGCTGGTTCCAAGTATTCACAGTGGAGAAAGATGTCTACAGTCCAGAAGCTCGGTGAAGAAATATTGTAGTGTTTGGCCAATAGAAAACGCTGCAAATGAGCCACAGTACAGGAAGCTGGGCAGAGGAGATACATGGTAGAGCAGCTTTGACTGGGCGAGGATGAGGAATCAGAGGAGGACGAGTGATAAAGGGGATCTAAGGAGAGACTAACACTTTCAGTTACATCTATGAGACAGGAAATGGATGTGGCTGGCGGGAATGACCTAACTGAACGACGTTTCAATAACTGATTCGGGCAATTCACGCAGCGAGATAGAGAGCGTGTAGCTAGAGGAGTAGGCGTTGAAGAGAGACCTGAGAGAATGGGAAGCAAATCAGTAAAAGCACATACAGCGAATGAACCAAATATTCCTTTCAAAAACCTAAGCCAAAAGTGCGACATCGTAGTTTCGTTTTAAGGCGTAACATAAAGTGCTTGCTTTAAAAACAAAAGTTGCATTTCGTTCATAATAGGCAATGGTCTCACCAGAGACAGTACTATCAGTTGAGCCCGTGTCTTCCAGCACTTGCGATTCTTTGCAAGAATGACGCACTTCACGGATAACTTTGGAGGGGTTCTTAAGGTATCTTTTATGGAATTCGGCAATTCGATCGATTTCAACTCTGAGGAGGCCAGGAACAAGTTTGTAAACCACGCGCTGCAGTGTGATATCAGGACGCAAAGCATCACAGCCAGAGGATGAACGCCCCTCCTGTATTAGAGTTTGACAAAGTGGGCACACATTGTTCAGCTCTGCAATATACTTTAAGATGCAACTGCGACAGAAGGCGTGGATGCAGTTTGTAAGTACTGTTGCATCGATCAAATAACCACCACACAATCCGCAGATTAGATGACCATTTAAAAGGGAAAGATTTATCTTCTTAGAATGCGACATGCTTTGCACCACTCCAGTCATCAGAAGAAGGGCTTGAGCACCATTAAAACGTTGCAGAAAAGAATGCTGAAAGATTTAATAAGCGTACAGTTCGTCCCCATCAGTAGGAGTTGGATATTTGCAGAGTATAAGGATATTTACGGCGTAAGCAGCGATGCCCCAAAATCTGCACTTGCATGGCTGATGTTGATTTAGATGAAATATGTAATGGCTACTCACGTTGTTAGTTTAAAAGTGAAAAAGCTCCGAGTACCAGCAAAATGGATTCCATACATAAAATTGTGTCCAACAGCAAGCAAGCAAAACAAGATAAACTGTGCCCGTATGACAAGTCAAATATAATGCGTTAAATTCATGCCATGTAATAAAGAAAGAGCAAAGGACCAAACGTAAGCGAATGAAAGTCGCCAATCCCGAGGGACGACACATTACGCATCTTGAGGCTCATAAAAGATGACACAAACAAAATTTCGTATGGACAGTTTTCAGCCATTGCACAAAGTCAGTGTTAAATTAAAAATTAACTACTTGACCTCAAGTAGTGCAATACTTATGAGAATTTTTGGTACTAGTAACATATCAGCATTTATTTCAAGTTGGCGTCCATCGTGTAGGTCGGGAGTGATTATATTTACCAGTTAATCAGAATGGGCAGAAACGGAGAAAAAATGAGCCATCACAACCCAGAAGAAATAATTTTGTCCCTTGACAAATTTTGGTCTAGTGGCCAATAGAAATAGGAATTGGTGTCGCTAATTTTAAAATACGATGATTATTTTAGTTTCTCACTCATTTTTTCGTGATTGGTTCACAAGCCGAGCAGTTTGCGAATTTCGTATAAAAGCTTCAATTTGTGCTTGACATGAGTCTTTGGATTGACAAGCATAGACCCATGTCGTTTGATAGTCTGGACTTCCACATCAAGGAAGCTAGTGCGCTCAAGAAGCTCGTGAGTTCGGCATTTTAGTCTCAGTTGTAGGCAATGAGTGGCGACTTTCCACACCTTCTCTTCTACGGTCCACCAGGTGCTGGAAAGAAAACACGAATTTCTTGCTTTCTTCGCGAGCTTTACGGAGTTGGTGTTGATAAATTACGAATCGAGAATCATTCTTTTGCAGCACCCTCAAAGAAGAAAGTTAACTTGTCCACAGTTTCAAGTAATTATCATTTGGAAGTCAATCCGAGGCACGTCAATGCTATAATTTGTAGTCCTTATTCTACTGGCTACAATTATTGCCATGTACTCGTCTGACTTCTCGTTAACTGCTTTGTTTCTTCCTTTAGTGACGTTGGAATTTATGATAGGATTGTAATACAGGAACTAATAAAAGATATGGCGTCTACTGCGCAGCTGGATGTCACGAACCAACGAGAGTTCAAAGTAGTCGTTATTCACGAAGTGAATCGCCTCAGTAAAGACGCTCAACATTCTCTTCGAAGAACTATGGAGAAATACATGAGAACCTGCCGCTTGATCCTCTGCACCGAATCTCTCTCCAAGGCAAGTGTTCTCCTTTGAGTACAAAAATATGCTTCTCAGGTCACCTCCGCAGCTCGTTCTCGATGTCTCCCTATTCGAGTGGCTGCTCCTACAGTTGAGGACATTGTGCGCATACTCTGCAAAGTCACGAAGCTGGAGGGGCTGGTGATGCCAACAGAGTTGGCTGAGCGAATCGCTTTTGCTTCAGATCGGAATCTAAGAAGGAGCTTACTGCTGGCAGAAGTTGCGCGTGCCCAGCACTATCCTTACACCTGCGACCAGACTATCCTATTGCCGGACTGGCAAAATTTTATTGCCGATACAGCCTCCTGCATCCTTAGTGAGCAGAGCCCTCGTAGGCGAGTTTACCACAGAACAAGTAACCTTGCAGTAGGCTAGGAACGCTTATTCGCTTTGTAATTTGCGTCAGGGC